CCCCCCTCTCCATTCCCCCTCAACCCACTCCTCCGTCATATGTCCATCTCTTCCGGAGACGGAGCATCAGCCAGAAGCCGCGAAGACAAACCTATACCCGCCTCCGCGTAGAGAGGCGCAATCTGCACAAATTGTCGACCAACGGCCGTGCCGTGCCGTACCAGCGGACCCGCCGCGGGCGACAGCTGCAGAGCGAAGACGACGACGACGGGGTTCTCGGGGAAGAGGGACTACTGCGGCTATATGCTCGATGGAAAAGAATCAGACACCGCACATATACCGCAGAATCTCACCGTCGAAATGGCAACTCGAGACCGAGTGGTGGTCCTACTCATAACGACACAATAAGGGAGACCCTCCTCACCTGGTGGGCCTACCCGGGGCGCGGCAGGTAAAGATGACACACTCGACTCGCCTCGCCGCGCAACGGCGTGGATCTAATTGACCGGGAGGGAGGCTGGGAGAGGGAGAAAGAGAGCTATGGCCTCTCTCTCACACACACACGCCTCTGAGGAGGATGTGTGCGGCTGGCGTCAAGTTGCCTTGCCACTCATTCATTCATTCATTGGCAGAGCGAGACGTCCCGACACGCCACGTGATTCGAGTAGCCCAGGCCCCCTAGGTTTTTGACGGGACAAAAAATGTACAAAAGGTCTGAAAACGGTTTCTGGTGCAGTTGAGTGTGCTGATCACGCTCCCGCAAAGTTCCCTAAAATTGGTTGGGGGGAACTCGAGTTATTGAACAAAAAGGGCCTAAATGCAGGGTTCCGCGTTTTTGGCTCTAGCGTCGAAACTATTTGTGCTAGGTGGACGGGATGAGTGTCAAAATGTTCGGAAAGGAACGGGGAATAAGCCTCAACTAACACAAGTCGAGCGCAAAATGTATTTCTAACCAAAAACGCGAGTCGAACACAAAATTTTTATTTTGACTTGTTCAATTTTTAAAATCTCACGTCATATCTTCTAACCGCGTGGGGAACTTTAATGACAGCCCCGACGAAACGCTGTGCGCTCATCCTTCAGCTAGATGACGCTGTTTTCACATTCACTCTAGCTCTAACCGTTCACGTTCAAATCGCTTTGAACTGAAGCCGTGCAGAGCCGCCCGCGCGGCCGCGCCGCAGCCGTGCCGCTGGAGCCCCGCTGCTTCCCCCACCACCCAGCGCGCTCGCTCTCGCTCGCACGCACGGGAGGAAGAAGGACAGAGCAGCGCGCGCGCGCCCGAAAAATGGGAGTATGAAATGTGAAATATTTAACGTTTAGAAAATACGGAAGCTATTTTGTTTCCATGCATCGGGTAGGCCAAAGTGTCCTCTCCATTCCGGCATCAATACTGCTCCGGGAACTCTTACAGCAAGCGTGTGCACCGAGGAAAACCCCAGCTGTGCACTTTAGCGCAGAACGGGTACCTCGGGTGAACGGTGAAAGGTACAATACTCAAAATGGGTGCCATTTGACGAGGAACGTACCTCCTTTCTAATGGTATCAAACACCTTACCCGAATATCAAAAGAGCCCACGGAAATGGAGGAAAATCGATTTTGACCACCACAAATGAAGATTTAAAAGGAGTACGCTGTACAAAAACTCGTAATCGAGAGCTCAAATCGAAAAATGGAAGAGGAAGTACCCCCCCAAAACCGCACATTCTCCGTCCAGTCCACATATTAACGGGGCGTTAAACGCACAGGTTCAAGAGATTTCGGCACTTTAAGGTAAAACTTAAGCATTTCCTAGTAAAAGTTCTGTCTGATTTCGAAGGAGTTCCGAAGGGGTAAGCGGCCCGCTAAGCAGCTTAATGAATAAAGAATACGCGGTTTTGGGGGGATACTTCCTCTTCCTTTTTTCGATTTGAGCCCTCGATTATCCATTTTAACGATAACGACATTTTGTACAGCGTACTCATTTAGACTCTTTACATGTGGGGGTCAAAATGGATAACACCAGAAACCGTTTTTAGACCTTTTGTACATTTTTTGTCCCACCTAGGGCCTGTTTTTGACTAAGGTTCCCGGACTAGAGCCATTGTCCTCCAATAAGCGAGTCTGCGCCGATCAGGCTCTCTCTCTCTCTCTCTCTCTCTCTCTCTCTCTCTCTCTCTGGCCACACGTGCAGGCCGCCAACCCCACTAATCCCCGTTGTTTTTGCACGGCCACGGACAAGGAAGCCCAGGGCGGATGGGCAGGCGTCCGAGATCGGGCAGCTGGATGCTGGCACCGCTAAACTGCAAGGACATAACCGTAATTCTCGCACGTTCAAGTTCAGTCAAATCTCAGTCTCCGTTTAAATCAGGGCGGAATTTCGATAGTGTATTTGTGGGTTTAAAATTGAGAAATGTTTGAAGTTGGGAGCATAAATATATTCCCAACCGTGCATAATAATTTAGCCCTGCCAGCAAATCAAATATACACACGCCATCACCGGTCTTGAGATCATTGTACACGTTATCTTCTCGGCTGCTTCCGTTGCAGGTAATTTTAGACTCGTAATCCAATTTCATTTTCGCCCTCTTTTCATCAGCGATGATGCCATTCGGCATTCGGCAGGCCAAAAGCAATGACGGCACGGCACGCCTCGCTTACTCGGATTTCCGATCCTGTCGGCATCCCCCCCAAAACTCTCGTGCGTGCGTGCGTGCGTGTGTGTGTGTGCGTGTGTGTGTGGCGTGCCGCACATGACCGTCCGTCTCTTTCGCACCGACAGAAGGACGACCAGCTCGTCCGTTCGTTCGCAGCGTGGCTGACGACAAGGAGCTCTAGCCAGAGACATGGAATAGGATAGACTGGAAGCGGTATTGTTTGGGGTGAAACCTTTACGACCCCGGGCCCGGGGCCGCGCCGGTGCGTGCAGCGGGGGCTGGTGCCCGGCCGAGCT